TTGAACTATTTTTGCATAGACAAAAGTACAGAGCAGTGAAAATCATTAATAAATCGTTCGATGGGCTGAATTGCACAAAACGCATGATCGCATCGGCTAGTCTGGTGCGCGTTGCTATTTATTTTTTTAGCTGAGACGGTTTTTGGGTCTTCGTTGACATTTCCTGCGATGATAGCTTGCATTTATTGAGCTTATCGGAAAAAAAGCTGTAATTTACATCAGTGTAATTTATATCGTATGCATTGACTTCTGAGTTCTGGTGTTCATTACTGAAAGAAAGAGGCCGATAACAGGCAGTTTTGACTTGTTGGGATATGGGACTGTTTCGTGAATCGCGTTAAGCTTGTAGATTGGCTTCGATAGTGGCACACATGAGATTGTAGTTGGAGTTTACGGAAACGTTTTATGGAATGGTGGGCACATCTGTTATATCAATTTTTGTTGCATTGTGGATGTAGTCTATTTCGTTTTGGACTACATTGTTCGGCACTTTCTAAATTCAGCACCGCCGGGAGCGTCCCTTGCAAAACGAATTCGTTGTACGCGAAACTTACCATCTTCTTCCCTTTTCTTCCTCCTTTTCCTGCTTATCCGACTTTCTTTACTCTCTTCTCTTCTTCCTCCTCTTCTTCCTTACACACTGCGGCCTTCATACTGACAAGGTCCAGTCGTAGTGTGGAGTTAAGAAGTATATGACTTAATGGACCGAAACGTCTTATCTCACTCTCACCACCAAACTTCATTACTTTCTCTTGCATTTGCGCATCCCACCATCTGCACTTCTAGAATTGACCTGGAAGCTGCAGTCTGCTTACCAGTTCCTCTGCCATTTCTTTTTTTTTCCGGTCCAGGCATACGCAATATTCTTTCAACCTATATCGGTCCCCAGTTTTGACACTAAAATCTTTAGATGCTATCAAATATACTGCCTTGTGTTGGCAGTGAAGTTGCATCGTTTTCCTCGTAGAGTCATTCAGTTTTTGTCATCTTGGCCATTAAATTGAGCGCATAGATTACGACGAATTTTTTTGCAGATCTTCTTTGATGGTAACGAACAGTACAACTCGTGGTCGTTTCTGTTCGTAACTGTCAAAACTCTGGTCGGCTTGGCGTTGCCGAGTTGGGAGACAAGCTGCAGTATTTGTGGTTTGCGTCCCTCGGGTGAGGGAGTGTGATGAGGGGAGCGGGGATGGAGCTGGAGGTGGTGCTTCAACTGTCG